CCATATTAATACAATGAGCTGTAAAAGGCTCGTCAATAACTTCTGAGGATAACCCACTAATATTATAGACTGCTAGACAGTATTAGATGTTTAGTTGAATTCAAACACTTATAGTATTTAGATGCCAATAGAATATTCACCTCTGACAGGACAAATAAATAAGTAAATAAATATTTTTAAAAAAGATCTTTGTAACAGAAACTATAGAATAATAAAAGTCTGAAAAGAGATTGGAGAGGTTATCAGAAAGACAAGACATCCCCTCTTTGGGGGTAGCCAGGAAATAAATTGGTCAAAATGATGATATTATAAAAAATAATACGGCGATTCAATGTAATCTCAAGAGCATTATTCATGGATCTAGAGAAAACAATCTTAAAATTATATGAAGCTAGAATATACCCAGAAGAATAAAACCCAAACTTTGCAATACAATCAAAGCGACATGCACCACAACACAGCACTTCCAGTTATATTACAAGGATATAATAATCAAAACAGCATGGTAAGAACACCAAAATAAACATATTGATCAACTAAACCCCTGTCACTCTCAGCCATTTGATCTTCCACTAAGAAATCAAAATCATACCTTGAAAAAAAGGTAACTGCTTTAAGAAATGGTGCTGGGAAAAGCAGTTATCCACATGTAGAAGAAATAGAAAAACACATTTCTCTTCCCATACTAAGACAAAATAAAAAGTAACATCTAGATACAAGAAAAGCACTAAATCTACTGGAAGAGAAAATTGGTAAAACTCTTAAAGACATAGGCATATGCAATTACATCTGAACAGAACCCAACTGCACAAGAAATAACAGCAACAATTAACAAATGAGTTTATATAATAATAAAAAGCACTGGACCGCAAAGAAAACAACTAACTGAGTGAAGAAATAACTTACAGATGGAAAATATTCATCTTTCCACTGTTGTTCAGAGGACTAACATCTGGAATACATGAAGAACTGGAGAAAGCCCTCTTCCCACAAATAAAAGAACAAATCCAAAAGTGTGCAATTTAAATGAACAGACTTTCAAGAGAAAAAGGAAAAAAAAATGGCCAATAGGTTCATGAAAAAGATGACATATCTTTAATCATTATAGCAAAACAAGTGAAAACAACACTGAGACTCTCTCTTATACCAGGTAGAATGACTGCCAAGAGGAACTCAAAAGTCAGTGAATACTAGAGAGGTTATGGAAAGAAATGAGCTCTTGTATATGGTTGGAGGGAATATTAGCTAGTACAATTACCATGGAAATCAGTATGCAAAATTTTCAAAAATCTAAAAGTAGAACTTCCCTTTGACCCAGTTATTACTCTTCTGGGCATGTTTGTGAAAAATATCATATTACAGTGATATATACAAACCATGGTTATGAGCAAGTCATAATAACTTAGCTTTTGAAGTAGGGTATGTGCCCATTGAAGATTGCTGGACAGCAAATGGAGTATATATAAACACAAGGCAGTGCTGACTTGGCCATAAGGAAGGGCAAATGTGAGTCTTTGAAGAAGAAAACAAATACATTTTGAGTGCACAAATGCTCAGTGAAATAAATCTGACACACAAGGTTAAATATCAGATAGTTTTTTTATGAGAAATTCAAATTATAAATAATTTAAAAGGCGAAGTTTGATGTTTTGGCAATAGGAAGAGGACCTAGGCATGAAGAGAATGGGATGGAAGCATGGAGGAGGGGAAGAAAATAGTTAAGATGCCATATATATATATATATATATATATATATATCCATACACCACGGTAAGTTCATTTTGTATCACAAACATATGCTGATGAAAATTTGTCAAGTGAAATATGACAACATATTTTTGCTAGTTTAATTGCTTGTGCTTTTACACAGACTCAAGTTGAGTCAGTGCTAACCTGAATTTTTCTAGAAGATTCGGCAACTTGAGCACAGGCACAGCTGCTCTGAGCCCAGCCTTCCCCCCACGACCTGCCATCGTGGGCCAGTACTCACGGCTGTCACAATGAGTTCTCCTCCCAGGCTCTGGATCTCAGCTTTAACTTGACTGCAGATCTTCAGCTGGTGTGAGTAGAACTTAATCTGCTCCAGATAAGCCAGCAGGTCCTGTTTGCATGACGGGTCTGGACACTGAATGTGCATCAAAGATAGAAAGGAGAACAGCAAGATGAGAGGAAGAACAGTGAGTAGTCACTGTCACTACAGGGTAGCCAGGGAGCTTCCGGTGAGCTCACAGGCTTACATTTTCTTCTGATGTGCTTCCACCACTAAAATAGATTATTAATTTTTCACTCTTTGTTGTGGTCAGGGTCTACATGGGAACAGATTTAATGCAGGACACATTATAGGCTTATTTTATTTTATTATACAATACCCAAGAGTCAAACGCAAAAGAGTATGGGAGATCTGTCCATGCATTAGAGACCAAAGAATCCAGCTGAGGGCCTGGATCCCACAGCAGTGTCCTACCGAATCCAGCTGGTGGTCAAGAGCCTGTGGAAATGTCCTCTGCAGGTCTCACTGGATGCCTACAACCCATGACAGAGTCTTTCACAACTCTGCGTCAAGGATGTGTGCTGGAAAAACCTCACGGTCAGCGGTGGAAACTTGCACTTCCTCTGGACCAGGAGGGTGAAGGCTTTGTGTCAGCAAGTTGAGCGATCTGCCCCAGAGCGAGGCAGCCATGCTCAAGGCAAGAACCAGAGCTCCTGGGAGAAGTACCGCAGCCCTCCTAGCCACACCCATAGCCCTGAGCTCCTCCGACAGCAAGGACAGAAAATCCAGTGTGACAGCCTCTCCAGGATCAGCAAGGAGTCATCGTCCCCTCCAGGTCTCCTTTCATGGTGTTGGCTACAATGCTCAGGTGGGCCTCCCATGCCCAGCATCATGCTGATGCAGGTGAGCTGGGTGTTACCAGTTGCCCATTAGTTAATCCACCATGCCTTTAAGTATTTCATTTTAGGCCAAATAAATGTTAAAAGAATTTTCCAACATGCAAGCATACAAAAAGCACCTGCCTTCAGTTTCTGATAAGCATAGAAACTTTCAGATTACATTTTTAGGAAAACCTAAAGAAATATTTAGGCTGCATTTCCTCCCTTCACCTGGAATGACTTAGAATGCACTTTGAGTTGCAGAGCTCTCCATTGTCTATCTTGTACTATATATACAAAAATAAAGTTATCTGCAAAAAAATAAAAACACATTTTATTATTATTTATTATTATTACACTATTACTTTTGCCATTAAATGTTTTTAGCTATCTACACACAAAGGAAATCTTCTCTATCTTAGGTAATGACTACACTCTAAGAGGAACTAAGAAGCAGCACCCATTTATCAGGGAGATATCAAATTGTGTTAGCAAAAGCAACATCTGATCTTGTTTTATCTTGTGTAAGGAACACCTGGAAAATACTGTAGTTTTAAATTTTATGTGGGCTGGGGAGATAGCTCAGTAGAATAAGTGCCTGCCTGGCAAGCACAGGCTCCTGAGTTCAATCCCTGGTATAGCAAAAGTAAATTAATTAATTAATTAATTAATTAATTAATTAATTTTATCATAGCAATTCAAACCTCTTGGGCTAGGGGTTAACCTTTGCATTCTTTCTCCTATGTGATGGTTGCAGATTTTTAAACATCTCCCCGGACTCTGCTTTTGATAAATTTTCACAAGAAAAGGGAAATCTAATAGAACTCATATGTACAGCTATTCGCTGTTGTGGTCCTTAAAACAGCAGAGTGTAGTAATAACATAAACAGCGGAAAGCAGTGGGAAGAGTAGGAAGGTTTACCTGTAGCACGAGGCCTTAGAGAATCTTAGAATGTGAGGTCTGCAAAGCATTGTAGAAGATGGCTTGGGAACAGAAAAAGTAGGTAAAATATAATGCACTATTCCAATCAGATGACCCAAAAGTATGGTTCATATATGGAAAATATATGAAAATGATCAATAAACATGATATAATAAATACTTTTATTTCCTCTTGTATTTCATATATCTTTGAATATTCATAATATCTAGTGACATGCCAATAGTAGTTATAGCTTCGAGTACCAGTCAGCACAAGTTCAGTGTGACGCAGCCGTTGGAGGTGTGTTTAGGCTGCAGGGTCAGGGTGGCATCAGGTTTTGTGCCAGCTATGTTTCCTATAGCAAGTAGTAAAAATTTACTCTGTTTAGTCAATCCCGTCCTGAATTGGCATGATTTGGAAATTGTAGTCTGATTAATGTGGACTTCTTCCGTATAGAGCAGCACCACTATAAAATTCCTGATTAATGGAACTTGTAAACCAGTAATTAGTTTTTTGACCAACAGCTAATGCTACAATCGCTCAAGTTGAAGGAAAAGATGTGGTCTCTCTCTCTCTCGAGGTTCTCCCAGGGCTACAGCAGGAGAGTCTACGATTCCAGTAAGGAAAGTGTGAGTCAAACAAAAGCAAAATTTGAACTTGCAATTCTGGTTGACATTTATCCTGCACTTGCAAGACTGATGAAAATCCTCATTACAGCTGAAGATGGAAGTCATCAGTATTATAAATGAAGTAAAAAGACAAATAAGTAGTAGTAAATGTCCATGAACAAATAAGTAATAAATTCCCATGCTATAAAAGTGATTAAAGTTCTCCTCTTTTATATTTAAAAGTCTTTCTGAGTTAAATGGCATGCAATATTGATAGATATGTATGGGGTAATGATCTATGCATATGGTGTAACGATCAAATAAGAAGAATTTTTATTTCCATCTCCTCAGATATTATTTCTATGCCTCTGAGCTTTTGTTGCCTAGAGACAGAAACAGAAGATTTAGTGGCTTCCACTTTAGTTCTGGTATTGACCAAGTCCTTTGGCCATTTGTGTTTCTCCTTTAAAAGAACATCTTTATTGCCTTTGTCATTTTAATTGGTTTATTGGGGCTTTTTCTTGTTACTGCTTTATAGAACTTTTTTTCTAGTTTGGATATTACCTCTATCTCAATTCCTTGGCTCACAAGTACTTTTTCCCAACCATAGATTGCTGGACATTACGCCATACATTGTTATGCAACGCACATTAAATATACACATTTTTATAAAAGCTTAAAAGTCACATAATGCTTTTTACACCATTTATACTTGGAGAGTTGAGAAGATTGTTAATGGAAATAATGAAGAAAATAGCTCCTACATTTTCAGGAGGGCATTCAGGAAGCATGCCAAAAGGGGTGACCCCACCATTTACATGTTAGTATAAAGGTAATAGAAAACCTTGTTCCTTGGATTTCTAGAATATTTCTGTGCTTGATTTTATTTTTCCCAAATAAAATAGGTTTAAAGGAGTCCTTCTAGGTACTTTCTGGCAATCAGATGGTAGGTGGATGTCATGGTAGACCTTGGTTGTCATTTCCTGTTCTACTAGCACAGGCCACATCCACTAGGGTGTCTGGTTAGCTCTTCCAGGCATGGAATTGTAAGTTTTAAGCCCCATAATTACAGGACACCCACTACAGGTAAATAGATGGCATGCCAGCATATGTGATTTTCTTCACATTAAACTAGTTTCCATGCTTCTAGTAAGATTATTGGTAGCAAAGAAGACATCATTTAGAGATAAAAATACTGAAAAATGTTCATTTTTCAGTTGAATTTCAAGAGTGAATTAGTGACATGAAAGCATTGAAAGACTTTTGTTCCATCATTATGGCAATTTTTTGGCCATACTGGAGAATAAACTATTTAAAATACATTTAAAGTGACTTTTGCAATTACAGATAGCAGTTTAAATTCCACTGAGCTGGCAAAGGTTGTTAATGAAAAATATTGTGTGTCATTGTGAATTATAGGCATAGAAATTTTGAGCAACTAGAGTCACTGTGGACACAGCAGGCCTGTGACCTTCCTCTTCCCATGGGGCTTGGTTCTTTCCTCTTAATCCAGCCCGAGAGCTCTCTCTGTTTACCTCGCTCAGGATCATAGAGCTCCAGTGATCTCACCTCCTACTGTACTTTTCTCATGTGTTTCCCACTAGTGAAGATATCAATATAAAATCTCAAAACAAATGCTGTCCTTATCTCTATAAGCTCACATTCCTCTCTCCGCATTTCTTGTTTATTCAGAACAAAGTCTTCTAAAACTATTGCTCTCTATTCAGCATCAGATACATTTATTTTATTTATTTACTTATTTATTTTTGCAGTACCAGGGATTGAACTCATGACGTTGTACTTGGCAGGCAGGTGCTTGTGCCGCTGAGCTATATCTCCAGTCCTACACATTTCTTTATCTTATAAAGTTAATGATCTGATAATACATTATATAGATTTTAACAGACTAACAGGCCAAAGAATATATAAATTATGTTAGACAATTGTAGGAGTCAAAGTACACTCAGATATATTGCCTATGTTGAATTCCAATCCACTTTTTCCTCCCACTTTTTTTCCTCCTTTCATAGAAAAGAAACTGCAATATTTGAGCTTGGCGTTATTTTACTTAACATTGTGATCTCGAGGTACAAACATTTGCCAACAAATTACTTGTGCTTCCTCTTCTTTATGGGGAGCAGTACTCCATCGTGTACGAATGCCATATTTATTTTGTCCAGTCATCTGTTGATGTACAAGCTTTTGAAAGATTTAGACAACATGCACTGAATTGTTATAAACATAACTGTGCATGTCTCACTGTCATATGAAATCTTTCACTATTTCGAGGGATACCTGGAACAGAAATAGGTGGGTCAAACAGAATTTCTATATTTAGTTTCTGAGCATGCTCCAGACTGATTTCCTTAGTGTTTGTATCAGTTTAGAGTTCTACCAAACATGAAGAAAGATTCCTTTCTTAGCACAAGCCATGCCAGCATCTGTTATTGGTTGATTTCTTGATGGAAGACATTGTCTCTAGATGCAGATGAAAGTACAATGTTGTTTTAATTTGTATTTCTTGAACAGCCAACAATAGTGAATATTTTTTTCATGTATTTATTGGTCATTTGTATTTCTTCATCTGAGAAGTTCAGATTGTCAATATTTTCATTGATTTTGTAATTTGGGAGGCCTATTTTTTAGAGTTCTTCACATATTCTAGATATTAATCTTTTCTCAGATGAGTAGCAAGGAATTTTTTCCCATCTGCAGGCCTTCTCTTCA